AGCATTTCCAAACAACCTTAGTTAGCATTTTCAGGCTTTTATTTTACAATTGAGGGTACAAACGACAGAAATGACTTGAACATCTTGAAGTTATTAAGAATAACCAGAAGATAGGATGAAAAATATACAAAGAAGTAGATGAGAAATGGTGCTGTATCTTACAGCACTGGGCAACAGGACAAGCTGGATTCTGTCTGAACAATCAGCCTGGTATCTACAGCTCTTAATTTTTAAATAATAGCACAAGCAGTTAGCCCAAACTCAGTTTAACCTACACAATTCCTCACTCACAGAATGACCAAGGATGGAAGGCCCTAAAGAACATCTAGCCCAACTATGGACTCCAGGTAGGGTCACCTCAAGCAGGTTGCTCAGGCTTGTGTCCAGATGAGTTTGATCCTCTTCAAGGATGTGGATTCTACCTATCTCAGCAAACTGTGGCAGTGTTTGGCCACTCCCACAGCTGAAAAGCTTTTCCTTATCTTTAAATGGAATTTCCTGTTTCAGTTTGCACCTGTTGCCTCTTGCTGTGGGGACCATTGAGCAATGCATCCCTCTTAATACCCTCTCATCAAGTGTTTGTGCACAGACAAGATCTCCCAAGACTTTTCTCAAGGCTAAACAATTCCAACTACAATCAATTAAACTTCATTAAGCCTTGGACTTTCTCCACTATCTTCATGTCTTTCTTGTTGTGGGGAGCTATGAACTGTAGACAGCACTTCAGATGTGGTCTAACCTGGGCTGAACAGAGCAGAAAGCTCACCTCCCTTGGGCTGCTGAGCAGTGCTCTCCCTGACATAGCCCAAGACACTGTTGGCTTTTCATGCGGTTGGATGCACTGCTGGTTCATGGACAATTTGATGTCCACCAGGACCCTTAAGCCCTTTTTTGCAAAGCTGCTTTCCAACCAGTCAACCTCCAGTCTATAGTGCTGCACAGTATTATTTGACTGCTGGTGCGTGGCTTTGTTGAATTTAATGAGATTACTATCTACCCATTTTCTAGCACGTCACTGCCCCCCTTGCATGGGACCACAAATATTTGGGTTGTTAACCACTCTCCCCGACAGAGTATCATCTGTTAGCTTGCTGAGGATGCACTCTGTCCCACCACCAAAGTCATTAATGGCCAGTACTAGCCTCAGTATCATACTCCAAAATAATCCACTAGTAATGAGACTGCAGCTGGACTTTGTGCTGCTGATGACACTTGTTTAAGTGCACAAGATCAGCCTGCTTTCAGTCACCTCACTGCTCATCTACATAGTCCATTTTTCATCAGTCTGCATATTGAGGATGCCGCAGGAGAAAACAGTGAAGGCATAGCTGAAATCAAGATAAATAACATGTACTGCTTGATCCTACTGCTAGATTTGCCTTGTTCCCTTCTCTCAAGATCCTGGACTCCAACATCTCATGGCCTCTACAGACCAGGCAGAGCTCCGCATATCCCTGCTGCTGTCTGAGAAAAAAGGCCAAACCTGCTCCCTACGGTCCTGACCTGTCCTTTCTCTGCACACATCTGCATTCAGCTGTGTGAGCTATCCTTCCACATCTCTGTGATCCCAAGGAAGAACTGTGGCCCTGCAGCTGCACACCAGGGCTCTAATGCCTTCTCTTTGCTCTGTATGGATGTGATTCAGAGCACTCAGTCAGGCTCATTTACATAAAGAATTTTGAGAGCTTCTTGAATACTGTTGATGGGTAATGTCTAAAAAACTGTAGCAAATAAACTGTTGAAGATACAAAAGGATTTCCAATATATTAATTTGGTGAATATCATATCGTGAAGTTCCTCTTTGTGGCACTTTCAATGCTGTCATGACTCATTAATGCCAATTAATTGAACCACCTCGTCTTTCTCCTAATATAGAATTAAACAACCGACATTTAAAAGAATTCTAGGTGCCTGTACTTTCTGTGGATTTTAGCTAGGCACTCAAATGTTGAGTGTATCTGAGAATCAGTCTTGCTTTGTTTTCAGACCTACTGATGTGGAGGATGCTGTAAATGTAACTAAGCTGCCCTTTTCAGATGCACATCAGTTAATTTGTCTCCTCTCTCTGTCAAAGAAGAGTGAACAGGAAGGCCACAATGTTACATGTGAAATGCTTTCAGGGATATAGCACATATTTAAAAAGTGCTTATCCCCATTATGGTATTCACTCTGGTTGTTATCTGAATCTAACACTTCTCTTATGAAATCTAAACTAAGGCAGATGTGAAGAGAGTTCAAATTTTAATATGGAGTTTGGATATATTCAACTTTTCAGTAACGGCAACAGCTTTTCAAAATGAAATCTTTTACAAATCTTTTCCTGAAGAAACATGATGTGAGATATTTTTGACATCCCAGAAAATAACTTCTAACTTGTGCTAGAAAGATTCCAGAAAGGACTTACATATTCCAAAAACTTTAAAAGCTATTCTCTGGCCTTGGAAAACATTTTCATTGTGGGCCCAGTCCAAACAAGGTACTGCATGAAAGAAGTCCTAATCTCAGTGGGACAGCTTGATTTCCAGGTTCTTCTTCAAAGTGAAGTAAAGATACAGAAACCACTCGTAGCTGGCAAGAGAAACTTTAAAGGTAAAAAGAAAACTACCTGTTGACACACAGCCAACCAACTGTTCCTGTTAAGGGTACTTTCCTCTCTTTGTTCTCCCTCCTAAATGCAAAAACTTCAAGTGTCCCTAAATGTAAGGGAGACTCATCCTAATGACTTCATCAGGATTTCCAGGTGAAATTCTGTTTCCAGCTAAGCCACTGCGGTCTTATCACTGACATAGAAGCACAATGGATCCTTGAAGCGCAGAATTTTGCAATTTTTTGCCACTTTTTTTTAATGCAGAAATTTTCTGTCTTTTTTAATCAGAGAAATTTAAGTGCTTAAGAAAGAATTTCACGTTTCTCATTTTTTATATTGTGAAGTCAGAATATCAAATTTGTCACTGTAAAACAGCAGCTCAAGCCTACATCAGAGTCTTTATTAAGCACAGTTTTATAAGAATCAAATGCAACTTTGTAGAATAAACACACATTTATCTTGCAACATGATACATTTTAAAAGCTTCCTGAGAATCAGAAGCCATATTCTTCCTCCCTTTTCAAAGATGCTCGCGGGATCAAGGTCTGTTGGTACCTGAGGTCTTGTACAGTTTACATGTGTTTCTTCAGTGAGAATTTTAAAATCTGGCATGCCACTCCTTTCAATTTTAGGATATTTTCGTGGTTGGCAGAGTTCCTTTCATCTGCCTTTCGAATGAGTGCATGACTACACACTTTTTAAGAATAATGCAACATTGGTAGTATATTATTTTCTATTGCTGAGCAACGTCCTGCAGAGTATGTGGTGCTCAATAATCATGTAGCTCATAGCTGAACTTTCTTACATAGCACAAACATAGTGCTTTCATGCTTGCTGTTTTCCTGTCAGTCTAGTTTAACTGGCTGAGCAACCACAACCCGTCTTTCATTAACCTCTTTTAGAACAAAATTCTGCCTGATAGCAGACAACTTAAAGAAGCAACTTAATGCTGCTCTCAGCTGCACAAGTCTATATTACTCTTACAGCAAACAGGCAGCCTTTTGCACATTTTTTGCAAGCAGAAACAGCATGAAGACCCATATCTACTGCCTTGCCTTGATTCTGAAAACACTGTAGGATGCAGAATTTTGATTAGGTAGTCTAATTATCCATCTTCATTGTACAGAATTTTGTGTCATATGCCAAAAGAATACAGGTTTTTTACTGTGAATGTTCAATCCCTTCTAAAAATTCACCAAAATTATATGAGCTGAAAGATAATTAAAAGGAATGGAGAAATAACCCCAAATTTGTTGTCTTCTGCAGTAAAAATCAAAGCTGATTTAAAAACAGATCTTACACGCTCCTTACATATATGTGTTTAACTTTCAGAAGTGAAATTAGTATAGCACAATTAAATGCATGTGAAAGCATTTTGTCAAAGTAATAGCAAGGATCTGGGAAGCCATACCTTTCAGTAATACTGCACTGCATTGCTACTGAGATATGAGTCAATCTGAATACATTTCTTGGTGGGGCCCGTTTTTTTTTTCGGAAAGAACAGAGTAATGAGTACTGACTACCTTCACAATCTGCAAAACGTAACTGTGTCCAGTTCAGCTCTCCTAAAAGTAAGTGTGGTTTTCATGGATGGAGGTGGAAACAAGTGGGACTCTCTTGATTTTTTTCTTCCCAAATGTCAGCTCCTTGGCTCCCAGCACCCATCATCTCTGTGCCGCTGGCTGCTCTGTACTGTGCCAGCTGTCCCTTCCATTGCATCAGCTCTTGGCCCTGCTTCCTCACCTCTCCATTTTTTTTTTTACAGAGAATAACTTTAGATCTCTTTCCCCCTGCTGTCCAGAATCACAGAACAGATAAAGTTAGATGGGACCACAGGGAACTTCCCTGTTCAAGCAGGGTTATCCTTGTGCACATTCCACATGGATGTGTCCAGTCAGTTCTTGAATATCTTCAGTGAAGGAGACCCCACAACCTCTCTGGACAACCTGCTCACCTGCCCACAGCAAAGGAGTTCTTCCTCATGTTAAGGTGGAAGTCCTGTGCATCAGTTTGTGCCCATTGCCTCCTGTTCTATTGCTCGGCACCACCTGGTTCCATCCTCTGACGCCTTCCCTTCAGGTATTTATACACATTGATACGGTCCCCTGTCAGTCATCTCTTCTCGGCATTGAACAGGCCCAGCTCCCTCAGCCTGCCCTCACAAAAGAAACGCCCTCAAGGCCCCTCACCTGCCCCCCAGCCCTGCGCTGGAGCTCCAAGAGCTCCAAGCACCCTCCCTCCTCCTGAGGCGGCCGGCACCGCACGCAGCACCACCGCGCAGCCCGGCCGCCGCGACATCTCGCGATACTTCCCGCCGGCGCCGCTGAGCACAGAGCGCCGCGGCAACGCACATCTCGCGATACCGGCGCGGCCGCTGCCGGCGCCAGGCGGGGCGGGGCCAGGCCGAGGCACGGCCGCGGGGCCCGAGNGCCCCGGGGGCTCCCTCGGCGCCCGCACCGCCGTGACCCGCCCGGCGGAGGGTCCCCAGCCTGCCGGCGCCGGTCCGCCCCCGGTGCCTCCGCCCGCGGGCACCGTCGGGCTTTGCACGGCCAAAAGTTAAAATGGGTGGTGATGGTGTCCCAGGTAAGCGTCTTCCTCCTCTACAATATCCTCGAATTCTGTTTTTACAGTAATTTGTTAGAGCGTAAAATAAAAATAAAAAAATAAAAAAAAAAACCCAAAAAAACCGAAAGGGAAACGAAGCCTTTCACTCTAAATTAAGTGGTCAACCCTCACTAGTTAGAAAGTGTTAGAAAAAATTCGACATAATTTCATAGAGGAGTAGCGGTCGAAGGGAACTACTGTGTGACAGGAGGCCATTACCACCATGCTTTAGTGCAGTTAATGTTGGCAGTAGCACATTCTTTTCCACCTGTAGTAAAAGGCGTAAGTACAGGTAAGCATCTTAAATACCAGTTTTCATCATTGGTGGCAAGTGTACTATATCCATTCTAGGAAGCTATGTGAGATAATTTTCTTTGTTTTTAAAGACTGTTCCAAATGAATTATGGTTCTAATTCAAAAGTCAGAACTTGGTGAATCAGGCTAGTTAAACTAAGCAGTGCATGCTTTGGCTTTAATAGCATTATTTTCTAGCCTTTTGCAGCAATGGTGTCCTTAATACCATTTTATGCCTCAGCCTTTTTCTCATTCTGTTCCCTTCTTCTCACTAAGTTCGGAGTTTAGTATAATTTATTCCAACTTGCACCTGAACTCTAGTTGTGAGGACCCATATGCAACTCCTTAGCCTCAAATAAAACTTAGTTAAAAACAAAACTGTCATTTTAAATCATGGTTTTAACTTGTGAGTTTCTGAACATGTTGCATGTCCCTTCACTACTGTAGAAAAAAAGGAATTACAGAAGTGTTCTGCTATTTTAACTTTGATTTGCATATATAACAGTGTGCTGTATATAGCTGGTTTCAGTTTTTCAGTTTTGGTTCCTGTTCTTATGAAGTTGCAGAAAGAAGTTAATTTACTCATCTTTTTGTGTTGAGATGAGAGATGTGTACAAATGCCATGAACTTTATGGATTATTTATGTATGATTTGTTGAATAGACAGCCTGTACTTCACCCTTTGCCTCAGGAAGGTACATTTGAGCTTCAAGTCTTTGAGAAGATCTGAGGGAGTGGCTGAGGGTCTTGGAGCAGCTTATGTAGCAGGTCACGGGGTGTGGGGCTGAACACCAAGTAAGGATGATGGGGCCTTTATTAAAGAGATCTGCAAAATGGTGAACCGAATGGGGAGGCTTGGGTTTATGACCTTGTTAGTATGAGACCTAGTGGGCCATCAGTTTGGGTCTTTGGATCGAAGTTCATGTCAGGCAAAAAGTATGACATCTATCCAGAGCAGACCCACAATATTTTTAGTCAGAAGTAACCAAAATCTGGAAATCTGCATGCATTGAAGGGTGAGTGGAGTTACTTGAAAGAGAGCAGTCTGCTGATATTTACTAAACAAACAAACCACCTGTGGCCTATGAAATCTCTGTAACTAAAAGAGTAGAGGCCAAATAATTTTGGAATAAGGCTTGTACTGTTTTTATTGTTACCTGCACATCAGCTTAGGGCCAATGCTGGCTGCAGAATAGTGGGCTTGGCTAAATGGCTGCTTTTGTTTTCTCTAAGTGTATGTTATTATGTATGTGAGTTAAATACATTATGCGTGTACATTAAATCAATTTAGTAAATGAATTATGGTTATCATTGGTTTAACTAATTTATTGTGAACATCAGTCCTTAAGCATATGCTTCCAGGTGCTCAGAACTTGGTGAGGAGAGCCAGTCTTCTTGCAGTTTTTACACAGAGACATTAAAATAGGTGAAGGTGGAGTTTCTTGCCTTCAGAGCTTTTTTCCTTACCTCTGAAAAGTGTCTGGGTTCATGTGTCCAGGAATGTATACCACCACTGCTCACAGAATAATGAATACTTGCTCTGGTGGAAGATTCTCCCTGGATCACTCCTTCCTATAAAAAAAGTGCATCTCACAGTAATTGATAATAGATAAGAAACAATAAAGGTTCTGAAATGAATCATGTATCCCTTTGTTTTGGGATGACTGAGCAGGGGAAGATTAGAAATTGTTTCTGCAAACTTGAAAAGAACAGCCCTTTTTCTCCGAGTTCAGATTTGGAAAACTTTGTGTGCAGCCATTATTTGTGAGGTCTTTTTACTGTGAAGAGTGAAGACCTTGTTGTTTTTTTTTTTAGTAGAGGTATTGTATTATTTTTCATTGCCAGTGTGATGTGGGGTCTTTCCACTTTGATATATACTGCTGTGTTTGCATCTGTGAAGCCACTGTGTTAACTTAATGCATTGGAATCTGTATTTTGCTTTTTTTTTTCTATACACCTTCTGTTATTTCTCAAATAGTGGTGTTAGAGCAACTATCATTTTATGTCTTGCTGTAAACAGTAACTGCTATTTTGATTCTACCTTCAATAAAGTGTTTGTATGTAGTTGTATGCATTCTGTAAACTAAATTTTTATCCATTGCTTGAATAGTGAAGAAGTTAAATACTTTGTCTATCAGGCCAGTTTATCACTACGTGTGGTTTTGGTTTTCTTTTCAGTAGATCATTGGCGTATTGGGGAGAAATGCCTTGCTCCTTGTTTTGAAAATGGAAAACTTCATGAAGGAACAATAACTTCTCTTGAAACGGACAAGAATGGAAAATCATTTGCTGTTGTATCATTCTTGGAGTCTGAAGAAAGGAAAATACTAATAACAAAACTTTGTAAAGTCAAAGACAGTAGAGGACCCTGGAAAAGCTTAATATTTGATGAGGGTGATCTGGAAAAGCCATATTTTCCTGACAAAAATCTTCCATCTCCTGGAGTTGCTTTTAAATTATCGGACAATGGTGATTTTATCCCGTATACAATTAACAGATACCTGCGTGATTATCAAAGGGAAGGAGCCCAGTTTCTGTATAGACACTATGCTAATAAAAGAGGGTGTATTCTTGGAGATGATATGGGCCTTGGAAAGACAATACAGGTATTCTTTTTGTTTGTTACAGTGGGAGAATATAGTATTTTCTGGGATCTGTAAATCTTTTTTGAAAAGCATTGTATATATGAAGTTTAGACCTCCCTCTGCTCTTGCAGAGATGGTTGAGCAGGACATGATGTCCAGGACAGCACTCAGAGCCAGGAGTGCGTTGCTGATTTAAGACTCATTCCTTACAGGCCATAAAATTGGGATGTGACTCCTTTTAGTATAAGCATGAGTAATTATGATAGTTAAAATGTTGGTGGTTAAATTTACTTTGAGGATTGCTACCTGCCTATCATGAAAGCAATTTGCACTGGAGAACACTAAAATAACTTGACACCCTTATCTGACTCTTGCTTTTAAAATACCTTTTTCTTTTTTTCCTGTAAACAAATAGTTTCACTGTTCTGGGAATGCAAAAGAGCTGACACTTTCACTCTCATCTCTGGAAATAGTGCTTTCATATTCCATGCTACTTCCATCCCTCTTTTCGCCCCTCTGCTCCACTCTTCTGAGACCCCACCTGGAGGAGTGCATCCAACTCTAGGGTTCCTAGCACAGGAAGGATATGGACTAGTTAGAGTAGGTCCAGAGGAAGCCACTACGTGTTCCAAGGGATTGAGCACCTCTCCTATGAAGACAGGTGGAGAGATTTGAGGCAGTTCTGCCCAGAGAAGAGAAGGCTCTTGGAGGACTCATTACGACCTTCCAGTAACCTTTGTGTTCAAACCAGGTTGGATGGGGGCCTGAGCAATATGGTCTAATGAATGGCATCATTGCCTTTGGCATAGATTGGAACTAGGTGATCTTTAAGGTTCCTTCTAACCCTTACTGTTTTATGATTCTGTGATCTTGTGTATTTTTTATTAAACCCAGTGTTTGTGTTCAAGTTCAGCTTGGGAAGGGTAGTTCAGTGGATATGAAGTAAAATGGTAGAATTCACTTGTTTAGAAAAGGTTAGTACATACGAGAAAATAAATCTAAAAACTTCATTGAATAACTTATATAGTCATAGAAAAAAGTTATCTCATGATTGTCAGTTGGCTGAAGCTTACTGTTTTTGAATTATAGGATGGTTCATGAGATAAAAGCTTTTCTAGAAATCCTTTGAATTTTAATGTTCTTTGTATTTCTGAACTGATTTTTGCTTTAAATATCCCAACCATATGGTTCCTTCATATCAAGTTGAAGTTTAGGTGAAGGCAAATAAAATAATGTTGTTCCTTAGTGTGGTTACAGTAAACTAGTTTACGCTCAAGGCATTTAGGTCGCTTCTTGCTTTATCTATAAGAGCCAAAGATTTTTGATTATGAGTTGCTGTTTCACTGCCTTATCTACTCTTAGAAATTTGTGATGCAAATTCTACCAAGAATAGAGAATGTGGAAAAGACATAGAGATTTATTGTTCAGTTGAATTTGATTCTAATTTTCAAAGGATTTAAAAGTAAAAGTGATTAGTTAAACAACATGTACAAACTGGCAGTTCATCTCAACCTCAGTTTATGAGATATTATGTATAAAAATGTTTGGGTTACTTTTATTCTACATACCTTTCTTTCACTCTGTGGCCCTACCTATGATAGATTTCTTCTCTCCTCTGTCCATCCAACTACTCTTTTAGGCAGTTCTGCCCAGAGAAGAGAAGGCTCTTGGAGGACTCATTACGACCTTCCAGTAACCTTTGTGTTCAAACCAGGTTGGATGGGGGCCTGAGCAATATGGTCTAATGAATGGCATCATTGCCTTTGGCATAGATTGGAACTAGGTGATCTTTAAGGTTCCTTCCAACCCTTACTGTTTTATGATTCTGTGATCTTGTGTATTTTTTATTAAACCCAGTGTTTGTGTTCAAGTTCAGCTTGGGAAGGGTAGTTCAGTGGATATGAAGTAAAATGGTAGAATTCACTTGTTTAGAAAAGGTTAGTACATACGAGAAAATAAATCTAAAAACTTCATTGAATAACTTATATAGTCATAGAAAAAAGTTATCTCATGATTGTCAGTTGGCTGAAGCTTACTGTTTTTGAATTATAGGATGGTTCATGAGATAAAAGCTTTTCTAGAAATCCTTTGAATTTTAATGTTCTTTGTATTTCTGAACTGATTTTTGCTTTAAATATCCCAACCATATGGTTCCTTCATATCAAGTTGAAGTTTAGGTGAAGGCAAATAAAATAATGTTGTTCCTTAGTGTGGTTACAGTAAACTAGTTTACGCTCAAGGCATTTAGGTCGCTTCTTGCTTTATCTATAAGAGCCAAAGATTTTTGATTATGAGTTGCTGTTTCACTGCCTTATCTACTCTTAGAAATTTGTGATGCAAATTCTACCAAGAATAGAGAATGTGGAAAAGACATAGAGATTTATTGTTCAGTTGAATTTGATTCTAATTTTCAAAGGATTTAAAAGTAAAAGGGATTAGTTAGACAACATGTACAAACTGTCAGTTCATCTCAACCTCAGTTTATGAGATATTATCTATAAAAATGTTTGGGTTACTTTTATTCTACATACCTTTCTTTCACTCTGTGGCCCTACCTATGATAGATTTCTTCTCTCCTCTGTCCATCCAACTACTCTTTTCAGGGAGGTATTTTTTCTGCACTCTGCTCTCCTGGCTAGCTCCTTCTCTCCATAATTAGAGGGAGTAAGTTCTTTTTTTGGACATCAGCAGTTGGTAGCTTTACCTCTGTCCTGCTATGAGCAGCTGTGTAGCAGCTGCAAAAAGGAAGTGGCTGGAGCTAGCTGCTCTGAGTAAAAGGGGTCTGTTGGGATTTCAAAAGAAGCGCACCTCTCTGATGATGCAACTGATCCTTGCTGCTACTTAGTCCTTGGATACCATTTATCCAAAGCAAATTTTGAATTTGCATGTTCTCGACAGATCTTTCTCTGCCTTCTTCCTGTTTTGGATTATGATAGGAGCAGTTTGGAATAGCTTGTGCTGGGATGTTTGTCCTTGCTGTGGTGTATTGTAATAAATGTGTTCTTTTAATTACCTTGACTGGTTTGAGGCAGATGAGAGAATATAGCACAAAAGAAGAAAAATTGTTTTGATGTCAACAACAGGAATTTGAAGGAATGAAACATACAGAAAAAGATATATTAGTAAAAAACAAACCTGTAGGATAAGCCTCTTCTTCCTTTTGCTGAAATAACATTGAGAGGATAGTTAGAGGATATCTGTTCCTTCTGTTTTCTCATCTGAAATTCAAGTACCCTGAAAAGGAGCAGTGTTGCAAGACAAGCCTCATCCATTTTTTTTCTGACTCATTCATACTCTCCTGTGTATTTTTGTGACATTTCCACTTAAAGAATAAAAGTGAGATAGAGCAATTAATTGCTCTTATTAGTTCAAGGAGTTCTTGGAAATCCAAGGGAGGGAGGGTCCCATTTTAAAACCAGATTTATTTAAAGCCAATAAACACCCCCTGCCTGCACCCCTTAGAAAAAATCTCTCCCCCCCCACCAAATCAAACCACCTTCCAGAGTCCTATCCAGGATTTTGTCCTAAATGTTTATTTTTTGTGGAATTCATTCAATTTCTTATTGTACATAGTCACTGAGAATTGTTTTCTTTTTCAAGGTCATTTCATTTTTGGCTGCAGTGTTGCACAAAAAGGGAACACGTGAGGATATTGAAAATAATATGCCGGAGTTTTTACTGCGGACAATGAAAAAGGGCTCAGATTGTAACCCCAGGAAGGTACAACTTTTAGTGATACTAGCTTAAAGATTTTGATGAAAGGCAGTACTTGGATTTGTTTGTTTGTTCTAGGAGTTTACGTACATTAATTTTTAAAATTCAGCTGCTGAAGTAGGATTTCATGCCTTTCCTAGTAGTAGTGTTTGAGAAGCCTTCAGTTTTCCAGACTGCCATAGTGCTCTCTCTAGTTTTTACTGTCTAATCTCTTACTACTGTTCATCTGCACTAATGGAAAACATTTGGAGGTGTCTGGGTTAGATTTGTGACTAGAGTACATTGAAAAGCCCATGTCAGTGAGTAGAAAATTAGTGTTGTGTGATGATATTTTTAAAGTAAAAAAAGCATCTGTGCCTGTAATAACAGGGTATTTATTTAATTAAGACGAATCCATATGTTTGGAAAGTATTGCTAATATCCTTGTGATGTCCTGTGTTTTCTTGATTGACTGTTGTGTTAGAAGTAAGTCTGATAATATAGGTAATGGAATATAGTGACAGCAAATAAAAGATACATGTAAAAGTTTTGTGTGAATAAGATAAATCTGAAGATTGTTTTAATTTTACCCATTACAGAAATCATGTGATTTCTATTTTCCATTGTTATTTTTATTTTGCTGCAATACTAAGAGAATTTGACTGGCATATGACAGTCATACAGCCAGCTATGACTGTAGCTGTGTAAATAATGGATATATGTTCCTCAGGAAATACAGAGGAACTGGTAAAGGGATGGCACTTTTTGTGCAAAGAAACAGGAAAGGTTCTGACTCTGACTGTGTGTGAGGGAAGAATGTCGCTTTGAGGACATTTAATGTTGAAAGAGGTCACAGAGAGGTTGTAGACCCCATCCATCCTTATACTGTTTTGAAGACTTCAGTTGGCTAAGCCTGGGTTTGAAGTCAGTGTTGCCACTGCTTTGACTATAAAGTTGGACTGAAAATGTCCCAAGGTCACTTTGTACCTCTTTGATTTTATTATCCTGTCATACTAAGTGAATTGTATGAGCTGTCCTGATTTTTTTAACTCTTTTCAGGACTATCTGTTTTCAAGTCACATGATGACTTGACTAAATAGATTTGAGGAAGCTGCTTACCCTCTTAATCCTTTTATTTTTTTCCATTTGTAAAACATTTTATGGTATACAGATGCTATGACAATGCAAAATGATAGTGTTTCACATCTTACTGCATTTGTTAAAAGTATAATTTAAGTAAGTAGTGCTTTTAGTATTTAATTTTTGTATGACAGTATTTTTCTGCTGTATTATATACATACTCAGGGTAAACTGATTACTTTTGAATTTATATTAACTTTAGATATTTTCCATATATCCTTTGAAATGGCAGAATTAAACAGTGAGACTGCTCAGACCAGTAAAATAGCCAAGATCTTGACTTGTGTTATTGAGAAATTGCTGTGTTGTGGTTTTTCTAGTGATACTATAATATATATTTGTTTTCAGATTTTCCTCATAGTGGCCCCTCTTTCAGTGCTTTATAACTGGAAGGATGAATTGGACACATGGGGATACTTTAAAGTCTCTGTCTTACATGGCAGCAAAAAAGATGATGACATGAATCGCATCAAGCAAGGGAAGTTTGAAGTTGCTCTCACAACTTATGAGATACTTCGCCTGTATTTGGATGAATTTAACAGGTAATAGTTTTAATATGTTTTTGTACACACTGAATTTTAACTGTCTAATTGTGCATTGTTCTCTTCAAGGACTTTTTTCTATACAACATATGTGCTGTTAAATCCATTGACTCACGTGCGGCAGAGAAGAATCCCTGTACTATTGAATTTATTGTGCACTACTGAATTTAACCTGTCCAGTTCTGGTGGGTTGACCTTGGCTGGACACCAGGTTCTCACCAAGCCACTCTATCAGTCCCTTCCCAGCTGGACAGGGAAGAGAAATTAACACGTCTTTAGTTGAGATAAGGCAGTTTATTAAAGCAAAAGCAAAAGTTTATGTATGCACAAACAAAGAGAAGAAAAGATTTATTTTCTGCTTCCCAGAAGTGTTGAGCCACTTCCCAGGAGATGGTACTTTCACACACGTAGCAGTTGCTCTGGAAGGCAAACATCATAAATAGCAAATGCCCCATTCTTCCTCCTTTCCTTAGCTTTATATCTGAGCTGATAAATGTAAGATCAGTTATCCCTTGGTGGGTTTGTGTCAACTGGCCAAATTTTGTTCCTCCCAGGATCTTACCTATTCCACATCTACTGATGTGGGGGGAATGTTGAGAGACAGTGCTGATGCTCTGCCAGCACTGCTCAGCAGTAGCCAAAGCACTGGTGTGTTAAAAACACCTTTCCTACTACCCACAGACCAGTGAGAGCTGCTGTGGGAAAATTATCCATCTCAGCCAAACTCAATACAACTGTCTTTGTAATGGGGACACTTGGTAGCAGTAAGTGCTTGAATAGTTCTCGTAAAGCCAGTCTTTGTTGGTAACAGAGTTATGAAATGTTCTCTGAAAGATAGAGGAATTTCCTGCCTGAAACCTGATGACTTCTAAAAGATATATAGAGGGTATTTCTGTCTGTCAGTGTAAGGAGAACAATCACCTGGAATTTTTAGCAAATGCTCAAAAAGGTATTTTCCTTGTTATTTGCTCTTTTCACCAGCTTGATGAGATTATTGAACCTTAAAAGCTTTGAGATTTAAAACCACACATTTGTCATCCAATCCTAAAGGTCCTTTTCCCCTATGTTATTTTGGAAGTAGGGTACGAATTGTGTCTATGGCTGGTGGTAGCAGCCTGCCCTCAGCAGCTGATATAAGTGGATCTGCAGATGTTGGCATTTCAGGTGTCGGGAAAGGTCCAGGCCCCAGAGAGTACCTTAGCTGCCTGGAGATCCATCATCAAGAGAATCACATCTTAATTTCTGTGCTTAGGTCTGAAGTACAGAGAGTAGAGAAGTACAGATAGAAAAGTTGTTATCACTATATGTGTTCTTTCTGAGGAACTTCTCATGCTTGATCATGGAATAGACTGTGGTCAGGAAATAGGTGCCTGTGTGGAGCAGATCTAATGTGTGACTGCCTGCAAATACATTTCTTCAGTGCGCAGATTATCAAACTGTTTCTGCAGAGGATGTGACTGGATGGGCCTGTGATCTCAACACCAGAAGAAGCTTTGACTCTTGCTTCACTACAGTAATGGATTGGCTTCAAAAGCTGCTCTTGAGTAATTAGCTGTCAGGAATAAGAATAAAGAATATGCTCATTTGTGCATGTAAATCAGTATAAGAGATTTAATTGACAGGAGCTAGGATATGAGCATCTGTTAGACTTACAAGAAACTCCAATTTTTAGCATATTTTGGGAATATAGGAACTTGAATATGAATGAATGTATTTAGTGATTAGCAAAAATGCCACAAGATCAGCCTTCATTAATGAACTAAATGCAGCTTGCTCAGGAGACATGCTTTCTACTAAACATCTCTAAATATGTCTGTTTCAGCTTTTTGCAGCATATCAATTTGGATATGGTTGTGTTCTGAAATATTAATGTATATAAAGTGAATCATAGAGGTAGTAAATCTCTTCCTAGGAACTTGAAGACTTTATTATTATCTCAGTATACAGGTCATTCTACTCCTAAGTTTTTTTCTTGAACTGACTGCAAAATATCTTTTGGTCATTGCTTATAGCTACATTCCTTGTCATCACAATCCCAAAAAATTAAAATTCCTCTGCTATATTGGTATTGTATGTGTATTCTTGAGTGATACCTCATTATAGAAAACTGTGCAGATTAAAATGTTTTCAGTTCACTGGTGCTTGCCTTGGATAATTTTTGTTGGTAAAATGAAGTATACCTATGTTAAGCATAGTTTACCTTCAGAGACTTACTTATTTTTTATAAATCTTAATTATGAGTAGAGTCAATTTTAGTGAGATATGCTGGATTCATTGGTCCACGGATTGAAAGCTTCTTTGTTCACAGAAAGGATTTGATACAGGTAACAGTAGCTCATTTATTTGATGATGTAGTTTAGCCGTGATGTTCAACTATGTTAATGGAATTTACTAAAGAAACCATATAGGGAAGTGAAGTGATATAATATAAAAAACCAGGGAAATCAAAAAGTAATAATGTGTTATAATACAATCACAGCTAGTTGTGTGGCTGACTTCACTTTTTGTATGTATGTGGGGTGATGGGAGAAGTCAATTAATGAAATCTTTTTTTGATCTGCAGTATAGAGTGGTCTGCTGTGATAGTGGACGAAGCACATAGAATCAAGAATCCAAAGGCTCAAATAACTCAAACCATGAAGTCATTAAAATGCAGTGTTCGCATAGGTCTTACTGGAACCATTCTTCAAAACAATATGAAGGAACTTTGGTGTGTTATGGACTGGTAAATATTATTTTTTATGTTTAAGCACTTCTGTGTGTTGACTGTGCAGTGGGGTTGGGGCAGGACTGGATGGTATGGATCCATCTGTGTTATAAAAAAACAACAACAAAATACAACCCTGAACTTCAAAACACCTGCTTTTTTTTGAGAATGTAACTTACTGGGGAGGTATTTTACAGTTACTTAATACATTTGGAGTTCATCCCAGCTGGCTTCTTTGGGGAATTTGGGAAGTAGTCAAAATTTTACCATATTACCCTTTTTTTGTTTCTTTTTCTTTTTTTTTTTTTTCCTTTTCCTGTAGGGACACTCTTTTTTTCTTCTGTCCTTCACCCAGTAGATAGGAAATCATTACACAACCTTGACCATGATAGTGCCTTTGCTCTGTCCAGTATGCGCAGGTCATTCTGACCTACTTGGAGGATGAAAATAATAATATTTTGCCTTTTTTTTTCCCAAAATACACAAGTGCACGTATTTGAAAAGTTACAGTCTTGTTCTGAAAAACTTTTAATGGTCAAGTAGAGGTACAGCTGACCATAGTTACAAATCTAAATCTCCTGGGAATGCTTTGCAGAGGAAGAACAAAGCAAATATACTTTAAATATAAGGATATATAGAACAGAAATAGCAGGAAGAATATTCTAAGCTTAGTGTTGCATCTGGTGCATTAAAACTATGCTGGTGTTCTTAGTAAATTGTTCCAATATGTAATGCTGCCAACAGTTACTGAATTCTTTCTACTATTTGGTTTCTCGAGATTTTATTTAGTTAATTGTAATATCTGTTAATTGTATATTCTGATTTCATAAAACCAGTAAAAATTGAAAACATGAGTGCTTAGCTTCCAGTTTAGGCTCCTTAACACTAGCAGCCTTGTAGTTTAGAGCTTCTATATAATTGTGATTTCTGTTGTTCTGCTAAACTTTTTCTTTTCTTGAGATTGGAACCCTTTTCCTGAGGGGTATGTCTTAGCATTTGAGAATCACAGAAAACAAAGGAAAAACGGCATGTCTTAAAATAATATATGTTTCTATTTGTATTTAAAATTTTCAGTAGTTTCTCTAGTGACTGCTGCTTTAAGAGATCTTGCTGTTGGTCAGAAAAAAAATTTATGGTATGCTTTAAATCAGTGAATCAATCCCCCATCCCCTTTTGTTTTTTAATAGGGCTGTACCAGGACTTCTAGGTAGCAGAGGACATTTCAAGAAGAAATTTTCTGATCCAGTGGAGCATGGCCAGAGGCACACTGCAACTAAAAGAGAGCTAGCAACAGGTCGTAAGGCCATGGTGAAGCTAGCAAGAATAATGTCTGGCTGGTTTCTGAGACGTACCAAAGCGCTTATCAGTGATCAGTTGCCAAAAAAGGAAGACAGAGTAAGAATGCCTTCACATTTCAAATAGAATGCTAATGAATGTATCTCTTCTTTTTTGTTTTCTTGTTGTATTTTCTCTCTTGCATCATGTCTGTAGTTTGGTTCTCTCTTCATCTTTTTAACTTAAGAAGAATCCGTAGTCTTGGAAAAAGTGCACTTGAAGTAGTGTGCTTTGTTCACATAATTACTATGATTGCACATTGAAATGGAGTAATCAAGCATGAAAATGCTCAGCTAGTCTTCTGACTAGTGATTTACACATCTATTTTATGTATGTTTTTGTCCTTATCTCTGCAAGCTCAAAGCAATGTATTTAAATGTCTTGAAATTCTATGCCGAACTTCTGAATTTGCATCTTGACACTTTGTGTATAGAACAGTATGCTTTTAACTCCCTCCCATCCCAAAAGAGAAGAAAAATCTCAGGCAAACTGATTCTGTGATAGGCCTGTGGTCCTGTTCATCTGATGCAATTGTAAATATTACATGAAGTAATAATACTTTATATTATCTAAATAAAGGTATAGCTAAGAGTTCTGCTAAATCTTTTATTCTGAGTTGACAAATATGTAAGTTTGCATCTGATTTTATTTTCAAAATTTGGTGGTTTTTCTTCATCCTTAGTTTATAATAATGTCATCTAGGCAGTCTTCTGAAGGACAGATTAACACAAATATGAATCAGTTTCCTTTCTGAATCTAGCAGGTTTTACTCTTTTCATTATCTTGTTAATGTGAGTATATGTTCAAGTTACTGCTGTATTATTATAGCTCAGCATGGTGCTGCTGCTATGTGGATAGTGTAGGTTAAGGAATGATCTTGGGATTTCTGTCTCCTGCTGCTTAAGACTAAAGATGTCATGGAGATGCCACCCATGGTCTTTCAGAAGACGGATCAGAGTTTTTGCCATAGCACTTTGTAGATCCTTGCCTTCTCATTGTTTATTCTGTTTGTCCTGCTTATGATAGTGCCCTACAACAGCTAATGCCTAAAAAGGGGAAAGAAAGGGCAAATTAAGCACCTTGCAAAACAGAGAGGAATTTGTAATTAACATTATGCGTTTACTTCTCTCACTTTTCCTCCCTCCTCCTATTCCTTCACAAAAGCAGTGTTTGAAGGTTTTGAGCAAAGTAATGGCAGGTTCTTGTAGAATGATATTAGTATTCTTTGTAGATTTTTGGGGTGGAATAAAATAAGTATGCATACATTTTTGCTACAGTTTCATGCTCTTTTGGTGTCAAGATCCACTTTTTTTTATTTGGTGGTAGAATAATTTCCTGTAACTATTTGAGCAAGTGTAGAATTAATTTCTGTTTTCAGTAATCTGTCATTTGTGTTTTTTGATGCAGTGGTCTTTTGCCTTTCATTGTATGATGCACATGATAGTGTTTGTTGTGTTTTCTCTTTGGCAGATGGTGTTTTGTTCCCTCACTGAATTCCAGAAAGCTGTGTACCAGGCTGTGCTAGAGACAGATGATGTTACCTTAGTGTTGAGAGCAGGAGAGCCCTGTAGCTGCAGCAGTGGAAGGAAGAGGAAGAACTGTTGTTACAAAGTAAGAGCTTGGCACTGTTTGGATTTTAGTGCATAGTCTTCTGAATTTCTCAAAAGACTCTCTGCTGATGAAGAGCTGATTGAAATGTTTGCCTAGTTTAGCTCATCTGTTTGGGATATCCCAGCTGGAAACATGGGGAGCTGCATCACCAGCATGATAAAGTTAAGTACTTTGGGGTTACTGCAAAGCTGCTTTGCATGCCCTGAGCAGGTGATTGTTCCCTATGCAGTAAATTCTGGATCTTTTACTAATAAATGCACCTCTGATTTAGTTGATACTGGCAAGGGTACTGCATTGAGATGTTCAGTATGTGTCAGCCATGCTGCTCCCGGGTGCCTCAGGCGGTTTGTGCAGGAGCTGCGAACGGGAAGCATGCTGAACCTAGCAGGTTGCCTGGGTAGTTGGTTGTGTTCTAACTGCAGTCGTACCTTTCTGTGCTGTTCACTTTGACTTGCTTCATGAGGGGAGAACTGTAACAGCAGCTGCAGAGCACAAGCCGAACTTTATCCATAAGTAACACTTTTGCAGATTTCTTTAATCTTCTCTGGACTTCTTTAAACCTTGATCAGTCTAGTTTTGAATTTGTTTTCCTTACCTCAGTCAGGAGGCTCAGATTAAGCACACCTTTTAAACATTTAGAAGTGTATGTTACATGCTTCTTTCTCCCTTTTATCTCTCTGGCCTGCTCTGATGCTTGTGTAGAGGTTTTTTTTTCAAATGATGTAGCTTCTTCAGTCCTCTGCATCTTTCTTTACAACCAATCCCCTTATTAATTTTGTTTAATATTCCATGGATACTAGCCCTCTTTGCAGGCTTTTGTTTCTAGTGATGTTTTGTAAAAAAAAAAAGAAATGCTGGTGGACTTGATTCACAGAAGGGCAGTAGGCAGGCCTGCAGATAGTTGAGTGCTCTTATGAGCTCTTTTATTCCAAAGTTAACTGTGAAACTTGTGTAACTTGAGAAGGCAAAGGAAAACAAATATTGATCAAGCCAGCCAGCTATAACTAGGAAGATAGCTGATGCTGTTGCACAGTTGGTGTTGCACTGTAGAGTGTCTGAAGCTTGAATTATGCTATTTGAGATGTTTGTAAAGCTTTATAGGCTTTTGCTGGAGAGAAAAGTAAAGTTAACATTTGAAAGGTAAGAAGTCATTCAAACTGCTCTTGCTTGATTTAATTGTTTATAAAGTTACCATCTTCTTGTTTACTGAAGAATTCTTGGTTATCTCCATGGGTTGTCTTTAGAAGTTACTGTCTGAAATGTTTAGCAAGTAATGAGCAGAGCTGTAGGGTTTTTTTTCTTGTTGACAAGGTGTTTCTATTAATAGGGTGACAAAGATGAAGGAAAAACAAAACTTGATTCATTTTTATCAGAAATACAGTATTCATCTCTTCAAAATCAGTTATAGTATTAAGAATTGTTAATGCATTAAACCTCATAAGAATAGTATTTATTTGAGATTATTACTTACTTTCAATAGTATTTATTTGCATAAACTGGGTTTTTTTTGTAGGTAAATGCACATGGTGAAACAATTAAGTCATTGCGCTTCAGTTACCTAATGATCCTACAAAAGGTTGCAAATCATGCTGCACTGCTGCAGACAGACAACACTAGCAAGCTGCAGGTTAGTTTCAGAAGTATCTAGAAAATGGACTTTTGGAAAATGTATAGGATGAAAACTCTTGAATGAAAATTGCTGCTGGTCTCCTTATGAGTCTTAACTAACTGCAATTAAGATATTTTGTAAAATTCCTTTTCCATTCAGTCATATAGAATGCATACCTTATAAATATGTTATACAAAACAACATGTTCATTTAGTTGATTCATATCTGAAAGTAAGGGTTATAAAACATCAAAGAGGTTAGGAGAGTAATTTTTAATAATTTCTAAGTGCTATTTTTGTTACATTTATGAAGAGTAATGTCTTTGTGCAAATAAATAATAGATAATTGGAATGGTTTTTTTCTCTAGTACTTTATGTTAAGAGCTGAGTTTCTTTAAATAATGAGAAACATGTTTTAGAAGAAATTGCTCAATGAAAGATCAGTATCAGCTTATCTTGTTACTATGGCAAGCAGCAGACCCACAAATGGCAGTTTCAGTAATGCTTGTTTGTGAGCCTTAAGATCCAGGAATGAGGAAAGGGATTTAGGGACATTGCAACTTTTTCTTAGAATCTATCAAGGAAGAGAAATCACAATGTCCTACTTAATTTTGCGAGCTTGTTCCATTAAAGCAGTTTTGCTTTTTCATATATGTTACTTTTAGTGTCCAGCACATTACACACAGCATATACCCAGATGTTTTTAGTGGGCTTTTTTATGTATTGCATGTGTAGTTTTTGTTGTAATAACATCTGATATTTAAATAACCTCTGAAATAACAGAATACAATTATTTTGTGACTTACAGTCTTCTGTGTCCTGCATAATTATTAATTTTACCAACGTCTGCTAAAGAAACTAATACTTTGTAGTGTTTCTTACCTTGAGTATTGAAGGTCCTTATGTGTGCTATTTGTAGGTGAGAGGTGTGATCTTTTCTTTCTCTCTGGAGCAAAGTGGACTTAAAGTGTAAGGTCGTGTTTTAAGTTTGGAGCTAAATTTACCAATGGAGCTTTATGTGGCTTTTGAACACCTTAAGTCCATTTCCTGTACAGTTTTTGTTGTGGAACAATATGTAATTCCCGTACTAGCCTGTTACCCAAGAGAGTCAAGAGAAATGTTGGTGCACAACCCGTGCGTAATGCAAACGTCAAGGCAAGAGAATTTTTTGAAACTGATGATTCTGGTCAGGAGGAGAAATTCTGATTACGATCCATGATTTCAGATTAAGAATCTCTTTTGTTTTTAAATGAAGCAAAGCAAAACACACAGGATATGTTTTATCCAGCAGTTTTGTAGTGAACTAAATTAAAAACCACATAACTCTGCTTGAGATACTTCGGCAGATCATGTTTCAATCTGTTTAACTCCTTGCATGCCTTAATATAGATCTGATTTTTAACACCTGTTCAATCTTTCTGCTTTTCTTCCAGGAAGCACATATCAAACGAGTTTGCAGCCAGGTATTTTCCAGTTTTCCAGATTTTGTGCAGTTAAGCAAAGATGCAGCCTTTGAAACTATTTCAGATCCAAAATACAGTGGAAAAATGAAGGTAAACCCCTTCCTTAGAAGAAAAATAATTTTTATTTATAGTAATAGAATTGGCCTAGAATTGGCCTGTATTATATGGATATAAGAAAATATACACATAATAGTTTGGGTGTTTTAATTATTCTGTTTATTGTTCATCATACAGCAGCAGGAATCTCCTGTCATGGATCAGTATTTATCTGGGCAAAGACTGGATAAGAATGATGCTAAAATTTTCTGATATTTTAGCTTCAGCTGTTTGATAGTGGGCATGGAAATGACCCTTATAGTCAACAGAACTATTGTTTCACGAAACCATGGATTCTGGTGGCAGTCAGAAATATTTGGCGAAGAAAAGGAAGCAAAACAAAATCATTATGGGCTTAATGGTTTGTGCACAGCTTCAATTTTGTGTGTAGTTCCAATCTCTCCTCTCAAAAAGCAGATGTTAGACTTTGAAAATGTTCAGAGGACAGTTCAGAGAAGGGCCACAAGCATGATTAGTAACTGTATCAGAAGCAGCCAGCTAGGCTGGGACCTTCCAGACTGTAAAGAATGTCTTAGCATAAATGTGAGTGGGACCTACACAATCATGAATAGCATGGAGCTGGTGAAAATGTACTGAGTGCTTACTGATTTCTTGAACCCTTAGGACATTAGATGAAAATAATAGTAGTCGTGCTGAAGATGACCAAAATAAATGTGTCTAGAATGAATCTGCGAACCCCTCGTGTCGGAAACGTTTCTCTGGTTTCAGAGAGGAACTAAAGATGATTAGATGACCTATAGTGTAGATTATTATGATGTTGTTTAATGTAAATGGAAAGTATGTCTAATATAACTAATTAAAAAGAAAACCATACTAGTTCTAGTAGTACTCTGGAGCTGAGAGAAGCTGGGAGGGTTAGAAGCTGTGCAGAATTTTGGCTCTCCGTAAACCTGGATATGAACATTTTCTTCTTGGGACTGGTGGCAGTGGGAGGACTGTGTTGCTATAGCAGGAATGGCTGTTATGCAAGCAATATCTTCCTTTATTGTTAATACATATGTATGAAATGCCTACATACTAACTTTGTTGTATACAATTGATTATTTTGAGAAGGTGAATTTAGCTCTTAAACTAATACATAGCTTTAACAACTAAATCCATCATCTTCAGGAGTTGAAGAATTTCTTAAGAAGCAGTTCTGTTACTGATTATTTACCATGACATTATTCACGTTACTATTTTACATTTTTGTTATTATTTTATTATATTTATTTTTTTCCCATTGCATTATCCTGGAAAAGCTTGCAGCCCATGGCTTGGACTTGTACACCCTTTGCCAGATTAAAAACTGACTGGGTAGCTGAACCCAGAGAATGGTGATGGGTGGTGTCACATCCAGTTGACATCCAGTCACCAGTGGTGTCTCCTAGGGTTCAGTTTTGAGGCCAGTCCTGTTCAACATCTTTACTGATGATCTGGATGAGGGGATCAAGTGCACCCTCACTAGGTTTGTAAACTCAAGATGGGTGTGATTGTTGGTCTGCTGGAGGTTAAGAGGGCTCTGCAGAAGAATCAGTAGGCTGAGACCAATGGTATGAGTTTCATCAAGAGGCAATGCCAGGTCCCGCATTTGGCCACAACAGCCCCCTGCAATACCACAGGCAGAGTGGCTGGAAAGCTGCCAGGTGAGAAAGGACCTGGAGGTGCTGGTCAGCAGCGGCTGGACATGAGCCAGCATTTTGCCCCGGTTGCCAGGAAGGCCAGTGGCTTGTATCAGATTTTGTGTCCAGCAGGATCAGGGAGGTGATTCTTCTTCTGTGTTTGGCATTAGTGAGGCCACATCTTGAGCACTGTATTCAGTTCTGGGCCCCTCTGGGCAAGAAGGACACTGAGATGCTGCTGGAGCATGTTCAGAGAAGGATGAAGGACCTGGTGAAGGGTCTGGAGTGTCAGGCTTATGAGAAACAGCTGAGAGAGCTGAGATGTGTTTAGCCTGGAAAAAAGGTCTCCCCTGAGCCTCCTTATTACTCTGTACAACTATCTGAAATGAGGTTGTGGTGAAATGCGGTCCTGACTCTGGCCAGAGTTAATTTTGTGCAGTAGCTGTGAGGGGATGGTGCCTGAAGTGGTGCAGGTGTGGCCAAAGGGTTATTCTGTACAGCCCAGAAAGCCAGAGGTGTCCTGGAATGCATCAAAGGCGGTGTGGCCGGCAGAGCAAGGGAGGTGATTTTCCTCTTCTGCTCCACTCATGCAGTGTACTGTATTCAACTTTCTCAGTACAAAAGTATATGGATATGTTGGAACAAGTCCAGAGGGGCCATGAAGATTATTAGATGGGTGGAACACTTCTTCTCTGAGGAAAGGCTGAGGGAATTGAAGTTACTGAGTCTGGAGAAGAGGAGGCTCTTGAGGAATCTTATTGCCACCTTTCACTGATGAAGAAAATCTGGAGGGGGACTTTTTACAGTGATAGGACAAGGGATAACAGCTTCAAAATGAGGGAGAGTAAGTTTAGTTTGGATACTAGAAAGAAATTCTTCACTGTGAGGGTAGGAAGGCACTGGAGCAGGTTGCCTGTAGAAGCTATGTATGCACTGCCCCTGGAAGTATTCAAGGTCAGCTAGGAAGGGACTTGGAATCTAGTAGGTGGCATGCCTGCCCATGGTGGCATGGTTTGAAATGAAATTATCTTTTACCCAAACTGTTGTATGATTTGATGATCTTTGTGCCTGGAAGGAAGATAATGGGTTGTGTAGCTATCATTGAAAACAAGCTGGGTTTTGGGTCTGTTAATTTTAACTTCATGGTGCCAAAAACTGGTTCATACCTTTTTGGTGTAGTGAGTTGCCTTTTTTTTAAATAAATTATAGAATGAAAGCTATTTGTGATGATTTTATATTTTATACTGTGAAAGCAAAGTCATTCAGGAATTATATAATTTAGAAAGTTGTTGTACCATAAGAAAGTAATCACAGAGGAGTCTACTGGTACTAGAGCTTGGAAATGGCTTTATAAATTTTTAACATGTTTATTTGGAAATAACTGAGACAAATGGTAGTAAAATGTTTTTAATAACATTGTTGCACTGTAGTAGTTTGTATTTCCTAAATAAATAAATTCATAATTCATTTAATAAATAAATTCTAGAAACTAAGTGGCATTCTTTTGTAACTTTAATCTGGTAGTGTAGACTGAATAAGCATTACTTTATCTTTTAACTTAAAATCCACTAGAGACTACACAGAAATTTTGGTACAGGTGATTATTCTTTTATAGATCAGCATAGTTGCAAGGGAATAGTTTGTGGCATTTTTTAAAAAGTTATTCAGGGAAGGGGGAAAGGCTGTGATTTTTTTAAAAATAAAGTTTATTAGCTAAGCAGCTGTGTTTTGCAGAATTGAAAAGGTTCCATCTGCTCAGCCTATCTGTTCTCCAACCAAACAGAGATAAAACACACAGGGAAACATTATGTTTCCCTGTTACGGGATATGAATTACTTCCACCAGTAAAACTAGATTTGCTTGTACGCAAAGGTTAGAGAGTGGCCTATATGTAGTGTTTGTGTGCTACCTGTTGTTGTGAGTCATCTCTCTGTATTTTGCAAGCTGTAGCATTAACATGTCACCCCAAGTTTTCTGTTCTGAATTTTGGATTACAAGAGCCTGGAAAAAATAAGCCCTACAGTCCAAATGTACAACATGTATAATCATTGATGGTGTACCTCATACGGTATAACAAGAACACTAATATATCTGTTACAGTGGGAGGTGGGTAATATGCAGTGATTAAAAGCTTCAGCTTTTTTTTGGTGAAATTATCCCCTCCTTTTCTCTTGTACTGCAGAAGGTACGGTTTGCAAGCTTTGCTGACATGTTTTGTTACAAGGTAAATTTCATGCTTAGATTTTTAAGTAGAAGTAGTTCAGTATAAGAGAACTGAGTGAAAGGAGTGTCCTGCTTTGTTTGGAAACCACTGTTTTTCTGTCATGATGTTGTAAAATATTGGGGACCTGCAAAGTTTAATGACAAATAGTTCATTGCTTTTGGAATGCAATGATTTCAGACTGTCCATGCAGAAGTATAGGGGACTGTTTGGAAAAGAAGATGAGGGAGGATAGCTTTGCAATCCTGCAGACTACCTTGTTTGATTATTGCTACAGTTTTATTAAAATTGTGTCTCAGAGAGACTCTATAAGGTACACTCTTTCTAGGTCCAAAGGGTTATTAAATGTCTGGGCAGTTGAAATACTTTTTGGAAATTTTTTTTAACTGCATACATTTCCACAGAGAGAAATGCCATTTGTGGCATTTGGAATACTGTTCTTAATACAAATCTCTTAGGAATAATTGTTGTATTGATTATTTTTGCTTGGGATATCATCATTCAGTAGGAAAATGGAAGTCTACTGGAGCACTTGGCAAGAAATGGTAACCTCTACCATTAAAATAACACTGACCCAAGCAGGGCTGGCTTTGAAGGCTTAAAAAATACTGTAGGCTAGCTTGAACATCACTATAGAAAAAAGTTCTCAAGAGCAAGAGGTAAAATCATCACATACAGCTAACTCACGATGTGTAGCAATGGGGAGATGTATGTTTAAATCCATGTGGACTCATGCAAAGAACAGGTGACTTCTGCTTGAGTATGGTAAAGTATGTTTTGGGCTAAAAACATACAGGATAACATTCTGCTGATCACGTGTAGAATTCACTTCTCTTTGATGCAAAAACTTCCATTACTTTTCCCTGTTAGAGTTGTTTTGTACTCCAGAATACTTAAATTCCCAATGGGGATGAAATTGATCCATTTCATTTAAGCGAATTGCGTGGATTTATTTTTGTATTCTCCTATAGGAAATTCACTATTTGACCTCTACTTTAATAATAGCAACAATAACACAGAAGCCAATTCCTTCTCGTTTAAAAGAATGTAACTTCTGTTTCTTTTCTTAATGTGGCTAAATAAAATGCAAATGTGAGTAGTATAGCTCCTGCTAAAGGGCCTGTTGTGTATTTTTTCCCCCAGTAAAATAAATCCTAGTTTATATGTTCATGTACAATGAAATGAGACCAAAAAAATCTGTCATTTATACCTTATTTTCACTTGTAACAAGCTGGCTAACATTTACTAAGGAGCTCATAATTGACCTTTTTTATGCTCTAGACATTGTCCAGAATTGTAACATTAATACAAACATTCATCATTATTTGATTGTCAAAGATCTGTTGGCCTTGTGGTGAAAAAATTCTTAATAGTTTATCTACTTATCAGTGAACAAATACAATTTCAAAAATATTTATTGCCCAGTAGAAAAAAGCTACAGCCATGGTACAGAAAATTCCTCATTTCCCATTGTGTATGGCTTCAGCACAGTGCTCTGGAGCTGCCATTGCCAGATGTGGACATGGTTCTTTTGAAAATAACAGTATCAGTATTATACACAAGGCTCTGGGTTATTTGCTTCCCCACCAGAAGAACGTTGTGTGTGGGCGGATTATTGGCATTTCAAGGTCTGTGCAGAGTCTGGGAAGCTGGATTCTACTGTAAACAGAGCAACAGATGAGAGTGGGAACGGGGAGGGGCATACATCTCACTGATTATTTTAAGAAGACAAGTTCCAAGAAGCTGTGAACTCAGATGCAAGACAGAAAGTTTAAACAGACCTTGGAATTTTCAGGATAAATGTGTGCATTTTTTAAATGAAAAAACTTGGAATCTGAGCTAGTGTGTGACATAAGTAACTTTTTGTTGCAGTGACTTCTGAATCTACCTCTTAGTGGTCTGATGACCTTTTCACAGTAGGATTTCTATGTAGATCATTGAAAAATGCAAAGTTCCAGCATCTCCATTGCCCTTGGCCCATTTATTATGTTAGTAATTATTTTGTTCTGGCTCTGCTTGGCTTTGCAAATAAGTCAATTTCAGTGTAGCCTGTTTGAAGATTGAAAATGTGAGTTAAGTGTGTGTAAGATGAGCTGATAAAAATTTAGATTAAAAATTTACATTTTAGATAAAAATGTATTGATTTTTCTGCTGTGCTTTTTTTACAGGTCCTTCAACAGCTTTTAAATCACTTCCAAAAAAATAAGGATAAAGTTCTTCTTTTCTCCTTTTCCACAAAGGTGAGCTCCATGTGATTTTTATCAATTAACTGCAGCAGTAAGTTCTGAAGCATGAATCTGAAAGTTGACACCTTGTCAATCACATTTCGCTATTGCTTCTGCTGTTAGGAGTAATTATGAGAACAGTGTGCCATACTCCACAAGCATATTGAAACCTTATGTTACCTCATGATAAAAATGGTCACAGCAAAACAAGTGTAGCACTCTTCTGCTGTCCCTAGAGCTTTTTGAAATAGTTGTATTACTTCAGGTGCCGATAGCTAAGTTCAGCTGGTATGTCTTTCTTGGGTTAGAGCACTGTCATAGCTCAGTATGACTGCCGTACCATAAAACTTTTGTGTTATCACTGAAAGTTAAGTTTCCTCATTCTGCTGACTTTTCATCATCAGCAGCAATGAAACTTCAGTTCTTGCTACACTAGTTGATTTGAAGTTAAAACTCTCTAATTGGAGCAAGACTTACCTGTACATTTTAGTTTTAAGGTACTTGCTCCTTGGTTTCCTTATTATTAGGGAGCAATGTGTTTCCTGAAATAACGCTCTATATTGTATTGGGGCTTTTATTTAAATATTTGTAATGATAACACTAAAAAGTATTTTTAAAAATAGTAATTTGAATGGTAGTTCAGGAGTCTTAAATACCTCTTTTTTTTTATCTTTTTTTTCTTTTTTTTTTTTTTTACTTGAAGGAAGAATCCAAGTTTAACATTCAGATGCAGTAGCAGAGTACTCATGTGTCTTAGGTTGTGTTTTATGGTGTCTAGTACCAGACTGACTGCTGGTTACTGCAGTGTATTTCACTCCTGAACTCTGTGCACTCTGTGCTGGCTGTAATGCTCATTTACTGTATTTCAAGTAATTGCAGCTTGCTAAGATGGGAGGTAGCTGCTTAAATGGATTGCCTGCTGATTGGGTTGGATTGAGTGATAGTAGCGATGAAACAGGCAGCCAGGGTGGGCTCATGGAATCAGAACACAGCACACAATATTAATCACCATGAGTGCTGTAGAATCACAACTAAAGAGAGTCACAAATGTTGATACCAAAGTGGCATCAAATATAAAATATTTTTAGTACACCAAAGTGATGTACTAAAAATATTTGATAAACATGGTCCCTGTGATAATGTTTAATTTAAAAGATACTATTAAGTACTTAACTTTTATTTTCCTTTTTTCTTCATTTTTCCACTTAGTTGCTAGATGTGCTAGAACAGTACTGCATGGCATCTGGGCTAGATTACCGAAGACTTGATGGAAATACAAAATCAGAAGATAGGATCAGAATTGTAAGAGAGTTCAACAGCCTTCAGGAAATTAACTTGTGTCTTGTATCTACAATGTAAGAAAATTTTACTTGTAGTTTGCTTCAATATGTCTCTCTAGTGTTAGCAAATCAGTTACTCTGCATTTTTCTTGCTGATCTTGTGAGGCATTACTTTTTGAGAAGGTGAGAGTAAGTATAGACTTACTGCTTTGGTCTGATGCTTCTTAAAATATATAGACACCTTTTCCCTCCCCCCTTCCTGCTTCATGAGGATTTCTAAGATCAGAAAGAAGTGGGTGTTCTGGATCCAAGTTTAAAGTTGTAGGATTGAAGAAGCAGTTTTAAACACTACTGTTAAAAAAATTATGATTATGTCATTATCTACAAAAGGCTTTTCATTTTATTGTAGACAGACTAATTTTTTTGTTTTACACTAGTAGAACTAACTAGCAAATGAGTGTGAACATGAAGTGCCATATTGAACTGAAAAATTCTCTCACTATTACTGCAATTTATTAATCACATTAATTAGCTAGCATGTCTATTTAAAATATTTCAACAAGATCTTTTATTGTCTTTTTAAAATGCACTTACCTATCAGATTTGCTTATCAATTTATGATGGATAGCAGATTGTTTTGAAATAGATTATTATGTTCAACTAAAATTATTGTTACTACAGTGACTGTTTATTTGCTTTATTCAGGTTACTTCCTTTCTTCATCTTGGATGAAATTTTTTACTGGGGAAGGGCAGAAAAGGAGCAAAGAGAAGCTTTTCTCCTTTTGCCTCCTACCCAGAGGGGACAACTCAGTGAAACTTAATGAAATATGAGTATATGCTCGCTGTGGTTTTTACTGGAAGGAGATATGTTGGAGTTAGGAGGATCCAAGCTATCTCTGTATAACTAGAGCAGACGTCATCTTAAAGGCTGTTGCAAGTGAATGTCAGAGCAGTCTTCAAATACTCTGGTGCTTTTGTATAGGGTTGTGAAGAGATTCGTGATACTAGTCATTGAAGAGATTTGTGACGCTGGTCATGTACATTGGCTTGTAATCTCTGTCAGCTGTGAAATATGCCATCGTCTTCTTCCCCTTGTCACTGAAGACAGAGGGAAATTTCAGAATCTGTAGCATTATGAAGGACTAATTTTTGCTTCAGTCAGTACTGTAATCATGGACATGTAAGTTCTCTTTCATTAATTTAAATCAAAATAAAAATGAAGTTTAACTAAACAGAGATGGACTTTCTTGTCTCTGTTTTGAGAGCTTGCATGTAGAGACTAGTGAGCCTTCTCCTGCTGATGGTGCTGGAGAATGGGCTTGATTCTGTTGTTTGTAGTTTTACTTATCTTATGAAACAACTGAAAGGAACAAACCATAATGGAATTACAGTCAGTATAAGATTGTGTTGTAAGCAAAACAGAGGGTGCAGTGGTTTGCCTGGTTTATTATAGATAACAGGAAGTGATCTTTTTTCTTGCTTGATGCACAGTAATGGAAGCATCTTTACATTTGTAATCCTTTGGAAGTACTGTAATCATGGACATGTAAGTTCTCTTTCATTAATTTAAATCAAAATAAAAATGAAGTTTAACTAAACAGAGATGGACTTTCTTGTCTCTGTTTTGAGAGCTTGCATGTAGAGACTAGTGAGCCTTCTCCTGCTGATGGTGCTGGAGAAAAGGCTTGATTCTGTTGTTTGTAGTTTTACTTATCTTATGAAACAACTGAAAGGAACAAACCATAATGGAATTACAGTCAGTATAAGATTGTGTTGTAAGCAAAACAGAAGGTGCAGTGGTTTGCCTAGTTTATTACAGATAACAGAAAGTGATCTTTTTTCTTGCTTGATGCACAGTAATGGAAGCATCTTTACATTGGTAATCCTTTGGAAATTAAAAAGCGATTTATCCTATTTCTGCCGTACAAGAGATTGATCTTTTCTCTCACTCAGATTTCAGGCAGATATAAAATAATAATGGGCTTTAGAGTATATTCTGTATTTTTCATTGCAGAGTACATTGACAGAATTGGTTCATACTCTTCTGTCTGTACTTTCTTGCAAAGTTTCTGACTGCTCTGCTCTGTGTTGTGAAGGTCTCATTGATCAGAGAACCGAATGTTGATTTTCACTGAAAATACTTGCATGATCTTTTGGATGCGTAAGTGCATTCTGCAAAGGATGAATTGATTTATCCTATTTCTGCCGTACAAGAGATTGATCTTTTCTCTCACTCAGATTTCAGGCAGATATAAAATAATAATGGGCTTTAGAGTATATTCTGTATTTTTCATTGCAGAGTACATTGACAGAATTGGTTCATACTCTTCTGTCTGTACTTTCTTGCAAAGTTTCTGACTGCTCTGCTCTGTGTTGTGAAGGTCTCATTGATCAGAGAACCGAATGTTGATTTTCACTGAAAATACTTGCATGTTTGTAATCCTTTGGAAATTTATCCTATTTCTGCCGTACAAGAGATTGATCTTTTCTCTCACTCAGATTTCAGGCAGATATAAAATAATAATGGGCTTTAGAGCATATTCTGTATTTTTCATTGACAGAATTGGTTCATACTCTTCTGTCTGTACTTTCTTGCAAAGTTTCTGACTGCTCTGCTCTGTGTTGTGAAGGTCTCATTGCACAGAGAACCAAATGTTGATTTTCACTGAAAGTACTTGCATGATCTTTTGGATGTGTAAGTGCATTCTGCAAAGGATGAATTCTCTGCATAGTAATCTTGAGACTGCAATTATGTTCACTGCCACAATTAATATGCAACTTGCAAAACATAAAACACTAATTGGAGAATTACAGTGCAGTACTGATGATAACTTTCACTATTAAATTTGCAGTGTTTGTATTTAATATTCCTATTTTTTTCAAAATGCTGTTTCTGCCAAAGATCACATTTAGATTTGAAAATCCTGGTTTTAACTGATCAGTGAAATTTTTTGAGAAATGGGACCTTAAAAAGGAAAATAATTTAAAAAAAATAGTTTGTCTAACTGTAGATTTGACCTCAAGCCTTGAGGTTAATATTGGTACCAAGCACAGTCACATGGCTATCCCTAATGCTTTTATTGACAGCTGTGACTAATACAGCTTTATGGGTAAATATATTTTATAGGTGTTGAGAGAAAGTGTAATTGATTTCTTCAGAGCTTGTACATTTCATCAAACCATTAGATCATGAATTTCAGGTTGAGCACTAGGGAAAAATAGGTATATACCTGTTGGAACTTCTAAGTCTCGTGAAGTAATACCTGTTTGAGAATACTTCAGTCTTGCACTGGTGTTGCTGGGAAAATATGTTATTATTTAGAAAAAGAGAAGAGAATTTTTAGACATGCTTAGTAACAATAAAATAAGTGCTAGAGTTGCTGTAACTTGATAGTAAATGTAAAAGCTTTCAGTTCCAGTGGTGCTGGAAAGAGGTGGTGCCAAAAGAAGAGAAACTGTATATGTACAATACCGAAGTCAGTACAGTTCTGTTCTGTCCTAGTTTGCTGGAATAAATAAAAGCAGCAAGTATGCCTGCCTTTAAATCACTGTTTCTGGATTTTTTGTGCTACTCTTTCTCTAGGTTAGTTCTGTCAAAATTGTTAATGAAAATCCATTTCTGCTTCTCAGCTTTCTTTTTATTTAAAGAGAAGTGTCTAGAGAATTTTGTAGGTAGTTTTTATCATGTAAGGTTACATGTCCACTTCCATTCTACCTGCAGCATTCTCTACTACTGTCCATTACCAGACTGCTGTTAGTTACTTTTTACTTTTACAGGGCTTCATTTAGCTTTAATTCTTTCACAGCAATGTTTTGAACAACTTTTACAGTGCGTATGATAGCATCCAAAGAACTTTCAGCCACAAATATCCCTCTGAAACAAAGAGCACAGAAACTATGGAAAACCTATCTTGATAAACAGAATTACATAATCAAAACTTTCATAGAACCTTTCATAATGTAGTATTGTTCTGCACCTTTTGAGCTACTAAGTTGTTCAGTTTTAAGTAAGATGATCTGTAAACTGTCCTTTTTAACAAAACTCTTTATTTAAGCCATATCATACTAATTTTCATTAGTATGCAATATCACTAAATTGCGATAGTGACTAACTGCTAGTTAAAATGAAAGGTAAAATGGAGTACATAACTCACAACACACAAACTTCGCATTTGTTCTATATATGAAAGATATAGGAACCATTCTTTTCTGTTTTGGACTAACTGAATTTTTCGGGCATACCTAAAAACACTGAAAGGTAAAATCAGTATAAAGCTAGATATCCTGTTCTGTTAATTTTTATAGACAGTTGGTTTTACATCTTGACTTATGTTTCAGTCCAACTGCAGGGCTGGTTTGGAAACAGGAGAGGCTGAACTCTTGCTAAAAAGTTTTTTTCATTAAAAAGAAACACACTAAATTTGAAAAATACCCTAATGTATTCTGAAAGAAAAACCCAACCCAAATATTGTTATTCAGTAGTTCACAGTTTGAGAATGCAAGTTCTCTGGAAACATCCATTAATATTGGCAAGTTTCTATATCCCCTCCCTTTCCACATATAACTAACCCAAAGCTACACCATATTTAAAGTGAAAGGCCACAGCTGCATTTACATTGATATGGATTCCATGAAAACCAAAAAGTGGTGGGGCTCCATAAGTTTTTGGTTTCTGACTCCATTCACTCTTACACTTGAAAACTTTACCTTTCTCATATTTCTTATCTGCTTCAGCAAGCAAAATTTAAAGTAATCTGTTACACCAGGTGCTTGATAAGTTAAATGGGATTGGCTTTTTTAATTTTGCAGTACCTCTTTCAGAAAAATAGCACACTTGGAATTAGTGATGCCTATGCTAATGTGAATAATTGTTTTAATGGTTTATTTAATAATAGTATTTAGCTTGTACTTGTCTGAGAACTTGTATCTTTTGTATGATAGTTGGTTGAGCCAGTCAAAAAAAACTTTCAATATTTGCTTTCCTCACTTTTGCTCCTATCAAATCATTCATCTATGCACATGCTAAACTCTGAGTAACTGAGCGGTTTTGCAGGGTTCAGTAGTTAGCTGTATCAGCTTAGATGTGTGCTCAATTTCTTCTCTGGCTTGCAGGTTTTACCTGAAAACACTCTACAGCTGCTGAGTGTTGTAAGATGATGCAGGTGGTACCCCTGTGACTCCTAACCCACAGAGCAGACAAATTTCTGACTGTGACATTTTTCCTTTTAATGGCTGGTACAAATGTTGCTCATATGCAGCTGTGTGGCCAACTGTGTTTTTAACAGCTGAATAAATTACTGTACAAATACATAATGTTAACTGGCATAAAACTGGTTATGAATTTCATTATAGTATTTGGTGGTGTTGCCCTGTGCAGGATTTAATGGGAAATTAATGACAGTGGTTATGGTTATTTGAGTACTTGGTCATTGTTAGTACAACAGTAACACAAAGCTGTCCTGCACTGTTTCAGTATCCTGCGTGTGTTCTTTTTTTTTTTAAGTTGGGGAAGGGTAGGCAAGTATGGACCTAATACAGAGCAATCTAGTTGCAGTTCTTTTCTTACTATCATATAGTTTTGGTTTTTCTTTTTTATGTTTTCAGGGCTGGTGGACTGGGTCTTAATTTTGTTGGTGCCAATGTTGTTATACTGTTTGATCCTACATGGAATCCAGCAAATGATCTTCAAGCAATTGACAGGTACACTCTCAAAATACATAACTTGATCCATGTTGCACTCTTGCATTGATTCTGTAATCTGATTGTCCAACTAATTTTTTTCCCTCAGGTAAGAAGTTTTTTACATCGTCTGATTAATCCACAAGACAACAGGAAAAGTCCAGCTAAATTTGTTTTTAACTTTGATGTGATTATTTTAACCTAAATTTTACAATATATTTTCCTTTTTTTTTTTTTTTTTTTTTTCAGCAGTGGGCCGAACAAAAATTCAACAAAAAACTCCTTGTGGTCACTATAATTTTTTGTGATATCTAGAATATATGTGTGTAGTTGGCATTTTTCGTTTGTTCTTCATGAAGAATACGTTGTAGTTGACCTTAGTTCAATATATTTTCCTTTTTTTTTTTTTTTTTAGCAGTGGGCCAAACAAAAATTCAACAAAAAACTCCTTGTGGTCACTATAATTTTTTGTGATATCTAGAATATATGTGTGTAGCTGGCATTTTTTGTTTGTTCTTCATGAAGAATACTTTGTAGTTGACCTTAGTTTAAATGGTGTTTTGAATTCCCAAACCCAAAAGACAGGGGCTCTTTATGTTCTCTTCTGCTTCACCATTGTGGAGATTAGTGTCTTTTTAGCACTATCTGTGATACTTAGTATCTGTCTCTGATATTATGGTGTTGGAGTATTTCCAGTAATGCAGATTTTTCTTCAATGACTTTTTTGAATGTAGGATATTTCCCTAGGAATCTGAGGCAGACCTTGTAGTAACTGAAGTAAAGAATATTAAAAACTTAAAAAGAATACTAGAAAACTATAAAAGAATATTTAAAATTCGGTAGATTTATATATATTACATATATATATATTTATATATTTTCATGATCAGAAATACACTTGTTTCTGTTATCTCATGCAATTATGTAATCCTGTTTTAAGGGTCTTTCTGATTTCTAGGATGTGTTTATTTGCACCTCTTCTAGAGAAATATATCAGAAAGATGTGTTGGGGACTATCTTTAAAGAATTTTTCTAATATCACATTACTGTGAATTGTTTTAGCCTCCTGTGAATTTTGTGTAATATAATCTATTAAATGATAAATTCTGAGACTTCTGAATAGAACACTTCCAGTTCATTAGCTGTTTTTATGATGCTGTATCTTGTAAAGTAATTTATGAAGTTAAGAAAGAACCGACTGCTCCAAGTAATCCATGAGTTAATTCCTGTGTAATGGAAATAGGAGTATACTTTGAGCAAAAGTAGATGGAGACACAAAAGGAAAACAAAACCAACAAACCTGAGATAGACAGAGTGGCTTTGTTTTGTGGAGAGGTAGGTGACAGTTCTTGTGATATAAAATGAGGAGAAAGCTTTTTAAACTGGATAGGCCTGGAGAGAAATATAAAATATTAAAGGTAAAGGAAAAGGAAATCAATTACTGAGGAAAATTTAGAAAAGTAAGGAAAACAAGGCAATCAAAATATGCATGATTTTCAATAGTTCTGTTTTATTAGAATGCTCTTATATATTTAGTTTGTTCACTGTTTATTACTACCCCTAAGAGCTCTCGTTTCTTCAAATGTTTTTAATGTGCCATGTCTTTGCAGAGCTTATAGAATTGGCCAACACAGAGCTGTTAAAGTGTTTAGATTGATATCCTTGGGAACTGTGGAAGAGATTATGTACTTGAGACAAGTTTATAAACAGGTAAAGCTCACAAACTGTTTAAATGGGGAGCTATTCCCAGCAGTTTCAGGGACTGAAAGCTAATCTAGCCTGTAGTAAAATTGTAGTTTACCTTGTGTTTATGGTGTATGATGTTATCTTAACGTACTAAGCCAAGGTGTATCATTTAGCAGCTGTTAAAGAATGGAACAGAATTATATTTCTACTCAAGTGTTTTTCTGTAACTATTGACAATTTAATTATGCAGTGTACATTATTCAGGTTATACAGAGAACTGTTTTTATTTGAAGGCTTATGAAGTACAAGTGATAGTTATAGGAAGTATTTGCGCAGCAATCTAATTCACGCAGCTTTTTCTCATGAAAGTCTGGAGAAAGTAAAGGAGAAATCTTGCTGATGCTATAGAAGAGAAGTTGATGATCTCCTAGAAAAAGACCTGGATATTGTCTGTTTGGTTTTCCAAAAAGCTTGTATAAGTCTTGAAAGGATGTATAATTTTTTTTCTTTTCTTTTTTTTCCAATAAACTTGTATTTTTCAAGTCGAATAAGTAGTAATGAACAAGAGTAATTGTAAGTCTGAGTGTTGGGGTTTTTTCAGCTATCCTTGGATTGCTTTCCCTTAGTAAGTAAATATACAGTGCAAAGGAAGGTGAAAAAAATGCTAATAATTTAGTATATTGGAAGCTGGGCTGTCAAGATACAGAGGAATGCCAGTAACATGTATGATAGCTGTCTGATAATAGGCAACAATGCAGTAGAAGTCTTCGAATGTTCTAGTTTTTTTAAATTCAGTTAAGCCAAGCAGGTTCATATTATACCACAATCTATTATACCATCATCTGCCAGGGAAACTAAAACAAAATATCCTTGCTTAGGAATTTCTGCTTGTTCCAGCTAAAGCTGTGTATATAATCTGGGTGCCAGGAAATTCTGACGTGTTGTTGTTGCAAACACTTCTGAAATCTCTTGTGTTGTTCTGTTTTAGCAACTTCACTGTGCAGTGATTGGAACTGAAAATGCCAGGCGGTATTTCGAGGCAGTGCAAGGATCAAAGGAACATCAAGGAGAGCTTTTTGGTATTCATAATCTTTTCAAACTTAGGACTCATGGGTCCTGTCTTACCAAAGACATACTGGAGGTATGAAGTACTACCCTTTCACTTTTGGATATTAGTTTTACATTTTTCCTTTCTTCATGAGACTTTTTGGTCATTGTTTTGAATGGAAGCACTATAAAACAGAATGATGAAACTTAATCAATACTTATCTGTGCAATGACTTAAATGAAATAGGCATGCTAATTTCTCATTCTGATATAGACCAGATAAATTTCTTTAAATCCAAGAATGGTAAAAGCTTGGTTTATAATTTTCATAAATTTCCTAGTATTTACTTTTTTTAAAATAAAAACTACATAACTTTTTTTTATACTTTCATGCAGCTTTGTGCACAGATACCTTTTATTCATCAATAACTCATACTGACCTTTTAAGTCGGAATTCTTATCATAAAAATATTTTTTATGATCACATTAACCTCTTCAGAGTACTTTTTGGGATGTTAAAAAAAGTTTGCTGCAGCTAGGTTACATCTTCATATTTACTGCAGCTTTATTCCATGTTTCTTTTTCTTTCCATCCTTCCCTTTATTTTGTTATTTTTCCTCTGCTAAGAATTTACTCTGGACCTTGCTGATTCTACTTCTGGTACTTACACTTCTGAAAAAAAGAAGAAAACTTCTTTTTCCTGTGCTTGTCTTTGTGTGTAATAAAAACTATATCTGTTTATGTTAACATATTTGACTGTCTTAGAGGGAAGGACGGGTAGAAGCAGGAGTCATGACGGCAACTACATGGCTAAAGGAAGAGAATCATTCATGCAGCTCAGAAAAGGTGAGATGTCTTTGTGGACTGTACACCAGAGCATGACAGGCCTCTAGTTCCCCATATTGCAGTGGCAAACGTGGGCAATATATGATTAGGGTGATAATACATTTACCATGTTGTTAGGAAGATTTTGTTTAGGGAATTGTGGAAAGGAGTTCAGGTGGTTTAGATGATTGAAAGCTTCAGGTTTTGTGGAACTATAGAAGACCTGATTCCCACCAAACCAGTGGTCTGTTCAATACTGTCTTTTTTATTTTTAATGTATGTAATTATCTAATGGTTTCCTTCTGGGATAAGATTTTTTTTTTTTCAATTTTTTCCAACAAAGGCCAGTTTTAATAGGAGCATTGTGTTTGTAGGAATGTTTTGACTGAATGCTATGTTTAAGTACTGTGAGTAAAGTTAATCATTAGATTAGATTGCACTGAATTATATTATAAATTAGCCACTGTCTCTTACGCCTGCTGGAGATTTCTATGAGTATATGTCAGTATTTAATGTGCCTTTACATTGATCTCAGTCTCATAACTGGATGGTCATGATCTCACGTATGACTTGCTGACAAACAGCAACTTTTCAAGCTTATGTTAAATGCTTTTTGATGAGCAGAATTATATCAGGATTAATATATTAATTTTAAAATGTCTCTGAGTACAGCATTTTGGTATGTATTGATCTGATTTCCATTTACAGACGGTCATAATTCTTACCTCAGTAGTATGCAGTTTCGGAGCGGTGTTCTGGACTTTCATCTAAAAAACGTTTAAAGATTGCCGGGCATAATTTTGTTTGATTACAGCAGGCCTCGGTGAATTTTAGAGTGGAATGTTAGCACTCATATACCAGGAAGTAAACCACAGAACTGAGATTTATTTTTGTTGTGAATGTCATTACACATAATATTAAGGTTTGAATAATGAAGTGACCTTCCAAAGCACTCTTGAAAGATGAAAAGTAGCAATGAGATTAGTATAAACTTAAAAAATATGGATGTGGATTGGGAAGGCATAAGGAGTTTAACGGTGTACAGCATTTATTGTCTCAAGTACATAATACTTAGTATAAACTTAAAAAATATGGATGTGGATTGGGAAGGCATAAGGAGTTTTAGCGGTGTACAGCATATATTGTCTCAAGTACATAATACTGTTGGTTATTTTCAGTGTTTTTCTGCTAAAAATATTCTGCCAGAGACTTCAGTAATTTCTCATTATGAATTATTTTGCATTTTGTAATACTATTTTGTGTATTTTTTGCTTGAGTAACAGTGAAAATCCACTTTTTTTACACTGCTTTGGAATTAAGCATGTTGTGTATACTATAAATGTTACTTAACTTAACAGTATTTTCTTTTTTTTAGTATGAACAACCAGCCTGTCAAGAAGATGGAGAGCCCCAAAGCATTCAGGCACAATTAAAAAAAGAAGAAAATGATTTTTGGGATGATTTGAGTGATGATGATATTCTGGAGAGTTCTGTGAAAAAATCTGTCAGAAGAAAGCCATGCAATGAAAATAGTTTAATGGTAACAAAAGAACAGCTTTCCTTAATGCAATGTGGATTCTCTAAGTTGTTGCAGAGAGAAATTGAGACTACCAAAGAAGGGGATCACAATTATGATTCTCATCATTCAAGTTCTGATGATCACACTATAAGAAAAAATGTAGATAGCAAGCATGGTGGTTTTCAGAAATCTCAAACCAGTGTGCCTGTTTGGGAGCATGGGAAAGTTGTTAGGTCTCCAAATGGAAGTGATAAACAAGGTATGCATAGTACAGAGTGGCTTGGTTTATCAGGCTCTGAGGAGGAAGAAGAAAGTAAAAATGAGGATCAAAGCATTTTAAAGCAATGTGACACAGTCATGGAAACTGAAAGTAGTTCTGAAGCAGATGATGATGTCATCTTTCCTACCCAAGGTCAAGTTTGCCACCAACCAGTGCTTACTAAAGAAGTTGAAATACATAGGTCAACATCTGAGAATTGTGAAGAGTTAGCAAAAGAAAAAGCTGGGTGTGTATTTAAGGAAAACAGTAGACAATTTGGATTCCACAGTACTGAGACTAATTTCACCATGTCTTTTGAAGATGTCAAGAATGACATAGATTTGAAAGGAACGAGTGACATAAGTGATGAGTCTGATGATATTGAAGTTCCCTATAATTCTGAATCAAGAAAGCTAGGATTTCTGAGTTTTCCAAAGCGGAAGAAATCTCTACCACAAGCAAAGATGCCCTATAGAAAAGGAAAGGAAAGTGGTTCTCAAAATATAGATGAATTCTCGTCCTCTGAAGATAACTTTCCAGTTGAGAAGATTCCTGCCAGGAAGAAAAGTTATAGGAGAAAACAGCAGAGCAGCAGAGTTCAGTTTGGGTCTAAAATGGTGTGTCCTATTCAAGATACCTCTGTTGCAGAAATGAAGTCTAGCAATTATGCTATGCATAGAACTTGTGCAAGTAAAACTGTATTTGAGCATCAAGTGAAAATAATGGAATCAATGGACAAATATTTAGGTAACTACTGAGTTAATTTGTTCCATTTTATTTCAACGAAAGTAATAACATATGTATAATTTACCGTTGTCAGCAGATTTTAAGTTCCTTTTTTGTTTTAAGATGTAGTACATTTTAAGATGTAGTACATTTTTTTGCCTTTTTTGTTTTAAGATGTAGTAAATGTTCTGCAAAGTTATTCAGAAACATCTTTCTGTATCTTACTCTTTATTAGTCTTATTTTTTGTCTAATGGGGTGACAGGCTGCTTTGTAATTGTTGGTTAAACTCTTTCTATCTTTTGAAATATGCTGAGATCGAAGAGTTATTAAAAATTCAGAAACTAAATATTTGCACTGTAAAATCTTATGAGTCTTGACAGGACTATTAAATAAAATGTACAGAAAAAAAAGTGGTGTGGGAGTTTTAAACACCATGTGGAAGACTTGATTCCTAAAGATTTAATTTTAAGCACTGATGGTTGCAGCTATTAAGCCATAGATGCTTTGAAACTTCTTTGTCCATCTGAAAATAACCACACTGAAATTGCAGTAGTGTTAAACTATCTGGATAAATCAAATTAAGTCTAATGATTATTGTTAATTTCATAGAACTGAGAAACTTGGTGCTGAGTGAAATAGTAACAAATTTTACAGCTTCAATGTATTTTTTTTTTAAATTACAGTATCCTTCAATGCAAATCTGTACCTTTAGAGTTTTGGAATAACCAACATCCTTGTATTTTTCTCATAATGTATCAGATGGCGTTCAAGAAGTGGCATATATTCATTCAAATCAGAATGTGGTTGGATCCAGCAAGGCTGAAAATCACTTGAGCCGATGGGCGGTGCACGATGTATTTGAGTTGAAGCAGTTTTCCCAGCTCCCTGCTAATGTAGCTGTCTGTAGTGCCAAGGTAAAGAGATATTTTTGGAAATGTCATTTTAACTTTTCTTTATCCTCATTTTTCATCTTAAAAAGCTCTAAAAAACTTGTTTTTCTGTTACTGGCCACCATGAATGATCAAAGACACTGAGGATGGGAGTAAGAGAATGCTCAGTTGGAAGTCTAATAAATTACTTTGTTTTTTTGGGGTGGCTTTTACATTAGCCAGCTTTGAAAGAGTTGGGAATTAAACAGCACAGCACCCTCCGTGGGATTTTTTCTGTGGGAGAAATGTTAAGATTAAAGATAGGGTTTTTGAAATCAAATTCTGTGCCATGTTTTTCTGATTTGAGCCTTGAAAAATCTTCAGTTTGTTCTGGATCCAGTTAACAAAAATCCAGTTGCCACGGTACATTCTGGACACCATGTAGCATAGGAGTTTGAACATATATCAGTTTGCAGACTCTCGTGGGGAGGTGAACATATGCAGTTGCTATAGTTAAGTCGAACTGTCCACGTTTAATGTCTTAAACATAGAAGTAGAGTTTACTGGGAGTTCTTATTTGCAGCAATGGATATGTTTAATGGTTTTTGTTGGCTCTGTAGCTTGTTTAATTAAAACACACACAAATTTGGAATAAATTCATGTACATCTTTCATATTTTTTATTCTTACTGCACAGTGTTTTTCATCTGCTCTGATTATTTAGGTATTTGGTTGCTTGCTTTGTAATAAACATTTGCAATTTCCTAGAGTGATTTTTAAGATAAAATAAGCACAGAATAAGTCTTTTATGAATGTGCAGCTTAGTTTTCACAGACACATTAGCTATCCTTACAGAAATTGTAGATATACAACTGTGTTGTTCTGGGGTGTTGAACATCCGTAGTGGCTAGAAGAGTTTCTTCCAGTGCTGTTGTACTGTATTTAATTAAGCCATTAGTAGAGTTGCCAAGAATTTTTATACTGGGAAGATCAAACCAGGAGAATCAGTAAAAGTAAGGCCTTTTCAATTGTAACACATTTGCATTAGAATGCTCCTCATTAGCAGAAAAGTTGGTCAAAAATACTCAAGAGTATGGTAGGAAGGTACTTATTAATTGGCAAAGGCTGACAACATTATTAAAACCAAATAAAAATGAAAGAAAACTTTGAAGAGAGTATTTTGACTAAATGTCTGTTGATCCACCTCTGTTCAAAACTAGTTTGTGGTGTTCATGTAACTTAGAACTTATTATGTAGAGTTATGTGAGTACAAGTATTGCAAATTAACTTACCTCGATTAACTAGTCAGATTTTTTAAGGTATGCACTTTTCACTGGGAAGCAACAGTACTATCACTTCTCTTGGAGATCTAAGTAGGAAGGAGAACATCAAAATTATGGAGAAGGCTGCCTCTTTTTTCACTTCCTGTTATTCATTTATGTAAAGGCACTAATGTAGAAATAAAATATAGATGACTGCCTATTCTTAGAGGTGGCATTTTGACCTTTTTGTGGTCTGATTACAAGTGAGCTTCCTAGACAACTTTGAAAGGTTCTCTACTTAGAATTTTACTGCTACTGTTTTTTTTTCTTCGTTACTTTGTATTTCCTTAGAAGGCATTTTGTGGAAAAACATGGTCACAGTTGTGTTTCTGGCCATCGGGCTTTGCTGGTAATTTTTCACTTATTTGCCATCAGTTGAAGTTAGGACATTCACTGTCTGAGCATCTACCTGTTTTATCATAAATAATGCTACTTAATAAAAATGTTTTTCAGTAGATTAAAGTAGCATCATGTGTAATATTAAAAATACAGCTGAGTCATTTAAATTTCCATAATTGTTTTAAGTAAATAAAATTACAGTTTTGAATATTGGAATGTTAATTGGAAACTGATAATTATTGAAGAAAAAACAGAGTTTTGTCAGAAATTTTGAAATTCCTTATTAATATAGATTTCAAGTGTCATAGTTTCTCAGAAACTGTTGTGTAGCTCTTTCTGTTGGCTGTGGGTATCAATGATATTAGATTCTTAATTAGAAGCTTTATTACAGTGTATTTAGGCTGAAGCTTTATGTGATAGCATCATGAAGACATCCTCAAGAATAATATTTATGCTCTGATAATATTTATGTCCCTTCTTAGCATAGCTAATCAAATTGTTTTATTTTGAAGTAGAAGCAATCAAGAAAGGTTATTTTCGTTTCACAGACAGGTATTCTGCTCAAGACCAAAAAGTCCTTTGTGCTCATTTGTGCCCCTTGTGTTCATTTTACCTATGCCAGCTCTGTCTTCCTGCTTTACAATTTCACTCAGTAAGCAGTCTGTAATAATACTTCTCTGGCGTAACAAATTTTAAATATATTTTCCAAGCAACGACTTATATCTCTGTAAAAGGGGTTCAAGAATTTTGAAAAACTGTAAGTATTCTGTTGAAGTGGATGAGTTGTAGATTGAGAAATAGATAATCCTACAAATCTTGGTGGAAGAGTGACACTTTTGTTTCATGCTTACATAGAAATCTGGAATGACAGGGATAATAAGCAATGTTATAATAAGTAAAGCAATTAATAAAGAAAACCCCTTACAAGAACATTGACATGTTGACTTCCTGCTATTGATAGCCATTTTGGAATCAGTACTTCTCTGGAACTTTTAGAACCTAGGTTAAGATCTTTAGTTTCAGTAGCCAATTTATGGAAATTATGTGAGTACAAGTAACAGAAAAAAATAAGTTGCTAGAAAGCACTATAAAACAATGTCTTCTTCCTGGTTGTCTACCTGTAGTAGCTAAAAGTATAAATTTGGTTTATTAGTGCTTCATTTATTGTTGAGTCATGGAGACTAATGTGCTTTCTTAAGTTGTAGTAACTGCTTAAAGCTGGAGCAGGCTGCAAAACCTGTGAGGTCTCTTTGAAAGTGAGAGAGGTGGCATGGGAAGAAGATCCTTGAGAGCCAAGTTAGAAGGGATAGGAGGCAGCAAGTCTTGTTCCCTCAGAAAATATCTGAAGGTATGTAGAACATCCTAAGAACATAAGTAACTACCAAGCTTGTATTTAAATTGGTTATAAAAAAAGTGTAAGACTTGAACTAACAAGCTTGTATTTAAATAGGTTATAAAGCAAGTGTAAGACTTGAACACTTTTTCTTACTTCAAATTTCATCTTGGTGATATTTTCTTTCCTTGAGTTTAGAAGGCCAGTGTTAAATCTGCACAGTTGGCACTAGTGTGCTTCAATTAACTTTATTTTTTAATCCACTAAGATGCCTATTACCAGTCTGTCCTTAATTTTACCTGACCTGGTATTTGTGCATCCTAGCTACCTTTTCTGCACGTAGAACATATTATTTTAATCTGCTATTGCCATGTACAGCAAACTGGTACAAAACTTCAGTTCTTTTTATGAGAAATAGATCTCGCTACTATTTTTTTTTCTTGCTGTCTTTGTTCTCCAGGTTCCATAACAGTCCTGGATTCAAGACTGCAGAACCTTTTACACTTCTTTCCCCAGAGCTGATGGGGGAGTGTTGTCATATTGTCTATATATGGTTTTTAAAGGCATTTTGCCAACTGACTAGTTTAGCTAGAATGTTCACATTTGTAGTACTGAATGCTTGTTTGGTCTGTATTTCTGTAAGTTCTGAAAAACACAGTTTGGTAGTGGCAACCAGAATATAAAAGTATACCATCAAGAAACAAAAACAAGACATCATGATACCTCTCTCATAACCTAGCAACTGTGAAAGGTGAGATAAAATTAAGAAGTAATAAATGTAACAATGTAAACTATGCATTAATTGTACAAGCAATAGAATAAACCATAATTTGATTGAATATCATCAGTCAAAATAAATCCTGTCCAGCACGTGAATAAAAGAAAGTCTGTGTATGACAATAGTAGCAATGAACATATGTGGAAAGGTATTTTATCACGTGATCCATTTTGGAACTTGTTCCTTGTATCACAGAAGTCCATGGGATTGCATAAAAATAGAAGAAGATCCTCTAGGTGTTAGATGAGTTGAAGCAGTGTTCTCAGTGAAGAAGTTGTTACAGAATGAGTTTTCATAGTCATAGCAGTGGAGATTCATTTATAGTTTGTTTTGCGAGTATGATGTGCGAAGTACTTTAAAGACTAAGATTAACTGGTGTTTTTTTACAGATGTGGCATGATATATTTTAAATGTAGAGTGCTTAGAATTAGAATTATAATAAAAAAATATTGTAGTACTAATACCCATTATTTGAATTAATTATCTGTTGTTTGAAGATTATCTGTATTCTGACCCTGGCCCGCCACTGTCAGTATACAATTGCTGTAGATTTTGAGAAGAAAATACGTAAGACCTGTAGAGTATGACCCTTAAAGTTCATCTAGTTCAAACTCCCTGCAGTCAGCAGGGACATCTTCAATTAGAACAGATTGCTTAGAGCCATATCCAACCTGACCTTGAATGGGATGGGGGCATCCACTCTGGACAACCAGCTCCGGTATCTTACGATCTTCACTGTCAAAAAGCCTTCTTCCTTATGTCTCATCTAGATCAAAGCCAGGCCCTGTTAAAAGTCTTCTTCCATCTTTATTACAGACCCCTGTTAAGTACTGAAGTGTCAAGGTAAGTTCTCTCCAGAGTCTTCTCTTCTCCTGGCTAAATAACTGCAATCTCTCAGCCTTTCCTGATAGGAGAGGTGTTCCATCCCTCCACTCATTTTTTTGGCTTTTCTCTGCACTAAGAGCAGAGGGACAGGATTGCCTGCCTTGACCTGTGGCCACACTTCTTTTGATGAAGCACAGAACAGTATGACAATTTTCCCTCAAAGAGTTGATGTTTCTTATAGTGCTGCTTATGCAGAAGGAACTGATGTGTCAATACCAGGAGGTGTTTAGAGCCTCAGTAATCAAAACAAAGCCAGGAATTTCTGTTCAATGCAGAAGTATGGCAGACAGCTGTTTCTGAAAAAAAATTGGAGATATGGATTTCACTGTATAATGGGTTAATAGTACATTTCATCTTCCTTTATGGTTACATTTGCTTGCATGTCCCAG